AAATGAAATGCCTCAAAGAGGCATTCTTGAAGTTGAAGTATTTGATGTATGGGGCCTTGATTTCATGGGCCCATTTCCGAAGTCCAATGGAAAGGAATTCATCCTCGTGGCTGTGGATTATGTATCAAAATGGGTTTCAGCAATTGCCACGTCCACAAATGATTCAAAAGCGGTGATCAAATTTATTCGAGGGAACATTTTCTCTCGATTTGGAGTCCCAAGAGCAATCATCACCGACAATGGCACCCATTTTTTCAATAGAGCATTGGGACGAGTCCTTGCAAAGTACGGGGTTCATCACCGACTCTCGACCCCGTACCACCCACAAACAAATGGTCAAGTCGAGCTTTCAAACAGAGAAATCAAAAGCATCCTTGAGAAGGTTGTTAATCCTTCAAGAAAGGATTGGTCTGACAAGCTTGACGATTCTTTATGGGCATACCGCACGGCATTCAAAAATCCCATTGGCACCTCCCCATATCATCTTGTGTATGGGAAGGCATGTCATCTTCCTGTTGAGCTAGAACACAAAGCATTTTGGGCTGTTAAAAATCTCAACATGGATCTCTCATTGGCGGGTGAAAAGAGAATGTTGCAGTTGAATGAGCTTGAGGAGTTTAGACTCGCAGCTTATGAAAATTCAAAGATCTACAAGGAGCGAACAAAACAACTGCACGACAAGGTAATCTCTAAACGAGATTTCGCACCAGGAGACCAGGTACTTCTTTATAACTCTCGCTTTAAATTATTCCCTGGTAAGCTGAGGACCCGGTGGTTGGGACCATTCGAGGTAGTGGAAGCATTTCCCTCCGGTGCTGTGCAACTTTGTGGCAAAGATAATGCCAAATTCATTGTAAATGGGCAACGTTTGAAGCGTTATCTTGCCAACGATCACCAAGAGGGAATGCTACTCTATTTCCTCGAAATGCCTGAATATAAGTGATTGCATTGGTCAAGCTAATGACCATAAATAAGCGCTTCTTGAGAGGCAACCCAAGTTTTCAAATTCTGATTTTTTTAATAAGATAATTGAATTTCAATAAGGCGTTTTCCAATTCATGCCATGTACCAAAAAAATCAATTTACCAATTTTTTTAGGAATTGTTTACTTAATTCTCCTTCATTTATATTACATTGAGGACAGTGTAAATTTTAAGTGTGGGGGAGTGGGTAGATAAAACTTGATTTTTTGTGTGTATTTTCAAATAAAAAAAAAAGAAAAAAAATTATTTTTCATTTTTGTTTTGTTTTTGTGTGTTTGTGTTGAATGATGAACAGTCTTGATCCAAAAAGTAAAATTGAACTTACAAATTTTTTGTTTATATGTCTTGTTAATATTTATATACATAACATTGTAAATTACAAAATCGTCTCTTTTGAAGGAATGTGGTATGAGTTTGAGAATTGTTTCATTATAACATCTTGAGAGTAACTGTGTCTGAGCTTTGAGTTAATTTCTGTTAATAATTTAACATACAATTTATTGGTTTACTAGCTAAACTTAGTTATAACTTTTATAAATCATGATATTTCACATTTGTTCTCCATGAAATGATGTTTTAATTTGACACATTTAGACATGATATAGGCCATCTTTGTTTAACCTCTCAAACCAAGCCTACCCAGTTCAAAAAAAAATCCCTAGTTGTCCCCTTTTGAGCCTTTTTCTATAAATAAGTGTTACCACTTATCTCTTGTTTGTCATTTTTTTTCTTGATTACCCTGTAAATGTTTAAACTTAAACCATTTTGCCAAAATAAATTATCCCTTCACCCTAGAGTAGATTGTCTTATTATTTGAGAAAGAACTTATAAAAAAAGTTAATAATTGGAGCACTGTGTATTTTTGTAAATAATTGAGTATGTCATTTTTTTCTTTTGTATCAAAGTTGTACATTCTTTGTCTTTGTAAAGATAATAATAACTTAGTGTGCCTTCAAAAAAAAGAATAAAACAAGTTTTAAAAAAAAAAGTTAAAAAAAGTTAAAAAAAAGCAAAAAAAAATATAAAAATAAAAAAAATTTGAAAAACAAAAAAGAAGAAGCACACTAATCTTGAACTCTTTAGATTTTTAGACTTTATTCTTCTTGGGCATAAAAAGTAATTAAATAAAAAAATGCCCATACCATTTACTGTATTCTTTGTAAAATAATTGTCATTTTTCATTTTCGAGTCATTTGTTTACCTTGCTCCATAGTTACATTTGTAATAATTTTTGAGTTCCTCATCAAAATAAGTATAATCTATCTCTTTTTGTTTATCCTTTATACCTTTTCTTTGTTTACCCACTTAGCCTTAGCCCCATTACAAGCCGAATAAAAGTCCTAATTGATCTTTTTGTGTCACTTTCAAAAATAATTAGACTGGAGAAACTTGGTTTATATTAGATTAACTAGCTAGTTTAGCTATAGGTGTTTGTGTTAGATTATTAACATGAAAGTTTCTAGGATAGGCAATATTACTCAAGTTACTCTCATTTTATTATTTTGTGACAATTCATGGGTTTTGATAGTTTGGTGGACAAAAGAGATGATTGTGTGATTTTTAAAATTATGTATGTAAATTCTAACAACACATGTAAAGATTCTATTTGTAGTTTATTTTACTTGAGGACAAGCAAAAGCTTAAGTGTCGGGGAGTTGATATGCACATATTTTATATACTTTTAGACATATTTTGAAGGACTTTTGAGTCCCAATTGAACTTAATATTTACGTAGTATATTTTATTTCAATTTTCCGTTTTATTTTGAAAGAGAAGTCCTATGTTTGGTTTTATATGTTTTGCAGGTATTTTGAGGCCATTTGGACGCATTGAGAACAATTTCAACAACGGAAAATAAATATAGAAGTTTGAGACCAAAATAAATGGAAGAGATTTGAAGAAAAGAAAGAAATTAATTTAAAATTGAAATGAATGGAGCTGGGTTTCAAACTCTGGACTTAAGGGTGTTGGAATTGGAGCTTTGACCATTGCGCCAAAACTGAGTGTTCCACATATCATTGGCGGACAACGAGTATGTACTCGCTTTGAATCGGCCCATGAATTGAGAGAGAAAAATGACAAAACACCGACACTGGATGAGGAATCAAACACGGGATCAAGTGGCGAGACAAACAGCATCATTTCCATGTGCTATTATAGCTTTGTTGACATTTTTGGGACTGTTCGTATATACTCCATATATACGAATTTATCTATAAAATCCACTCCCTTCTCTTCTTCTAAGAGGTTGGAACTCCTCACTTCTCTACTCTCTCCATTTCTGAAATTCTTCTCCTTCCTCACTAATATCTCACCACTTTCTTCTTCCAAACACATAAAAATTACTCCATCTTCATCATCATCAACACCATCTATTTTAGTTGGAGCTCAAGAACACATCTTTCATTTTGTAAGATTTTTATTATTCTAATAAATATTTATTTGTTTAAGCTTCCAACTATGAACTTCTAAA